GGGTTTGAACCACCAGCCTTCTGGTTAGCAGTCAAGTGCTTTTAGCCACTATGCTGAGTCTATGGCCATAAGTTGTCATTTTAGCTCACCCTATTCTATTTCTTTTATTTTATTCTCATTGTTTTTTCCGTTTCCTTAGCAGCCCCTAATCAATTTCTAAAAGGCTATGACCAGTGAAGCACCACCCCAGTCTAGAACCAGGACAACTGAGGGAATCCCCTTCCTCCCATCCCTTATCTATGATGATGAAGGTGATTTCTCAGAAATAGTACTGTTTCCAGGTATCTAGGAGAAGGTGACCTCCTCGGAAGGAAGATGGGGCAATCTACTTCTGTAGTGATACTGCCTTGGAAACCCAAGGAGGGGTCGCTATGAGTTGCGTCTGACTTGACGGCACATAACAACAACAACAACATCAGGAGAAGATGAGGGAAGGCCAGGATATAAAGCTCAGCAAAAAAAAAAAAAAAGAAAAAGAGTATTCATCATAAAAATTTGACCAACTCTGAAGTAGTCTGAACTAGGAAGGAAGACAGAGAGAAGCCAGCTACTCTCTCTAGGGTCTCCTCCTTCCTCGATCTGAGTCCCCAGAGTGCTAAGAAGGCAGCACAGAGGCTTTAAATAGGAACCAGCAGCAATTGATGGGAAATTTGGGGATAGAGGGAGAAGGAAGCTGCGAAAAGACCTAGAAGAGTGATTTTACTTGGGCTAATATCCCTAGAGGATCTAACACCAGTTAAGATTCACTTCTGAAATGAGCCAGGAAGTCCTTCCAATACCTGGTTTTATACTCAAGAGGCTATGTGACTCACTGGACTTAAGCACAGTTACTGATTTTCTGGCCTCACAACTCAAAGCAGGTTTTATGATTAGATGTCTAGGCATCCGGCAGAATTTCATCACTTTAGCCTTGCTACTCTCTGGACAGAACATCAGGCTTTAGAGTGGGTTGTTGTTTGTTCCAAAGCCTAAATATACTAGCAGGGAGAAAAACAGAGAGGAATTTCAAATATTGTTGTATCTGAAGGACTGCCTTCTTCCAGGAATGGGCTTAAGGCATTCAAGAAAAGAAAGAGGCCTACTACAGACATGGAAAGGAACCCTGGCGACACAACAGTTAAGTGCTCAGCTGCCAATTGATTGGTGCCCTTTTGGAACCTAGCCAGAAGGTCCATAGGAGAAAAGACCTGGTGATCTTTTCCCATAAAGACTATAGTCTAGGAAACTCTACAGGAGTTCTATTCTGTCATATTGTTGTTGTTGTTGTTGTTGTTATGTGCCATCGAGTCAGACCTGACTCATAGAGACCCCTTCTTGGGTTTTCAAGGCAGTATCACTATGGAAGTAGACTGCCCCATCTTCCTTCCGAGGAGTGGCCAGTGGGTTTGAACTGCCAATCTTCTGGTTAGCAGTCAAGTGCCTTTACGCACTATGCTACCAGAGCTCCTATTCTGTCATATAGGGACAGAATAAGACAGATTTGACTAGATGGCACACAACACCAACAATAGAGCACATGGAAGAGGTTATAGTTGATCAAGTCAGAGAGGTAGGCAGAGGCCAGATTATAAACAGTCATATAAATTATGGCAATAAGGTTGAATTTTATTTGTTGTTGTTTTTATGTGCCGTCTAGTTGGACCCGACTCATAGCAACCCCTCCTTGGGTTTCCGAGGTGGTATCACTACGGAAGTAGATTGCTCAACCTTCCTTCTGAGGAGTGGCTAAAGAGTTTGAACCACCAGCCTTCTGGTTAGCAGTCAAGTGCCTTAGGCTCTATGAAACCAGAGCTCCTTGAATTGTATTTACTTCTACTAAATACAGAACAGATAACTTAGAAGGATAACCCAGGATGCTGTATGAGGGATGGATTGTGGTGGTAGGCAAGAGTAGAGGCAGGTAAATTAGCTAGGAAGCTATTAAGAGGATATGGAATGTTCCAGTGGTAGTGTTGGGAGTTCTGGTGGCATAGTGCCTAAGGCATTTCACTGCTAACCAGAAGGCTGGCGGTTCAAACCCATCAGCCACTCCTCAAAAGAAAGGTTAAGCAATCTATTTCCGTAGTGATACCGCCTCAGAAACCCAAGGAGGGGTGGCTATGAGTTAGATCTGACTCGATGGCTGTGAGTTTGGTTTTGGTTTGGAGTGGTGGTGCCGGTAAGGAGTTTGGATTTTGGATAACTGAATGTAGAGCTGATTGGACTCCCAGATAGTGATGCAGTGTAGACTGAGTATAGACTCAGAGTCAGGGTGCATGAATTTTGGCTCTGTAACCTGTCAGCTGAATGACCACTTGGACAAGGCACTTAACCTTCCTGTCTTTCAATTTCTTCATTTATTCTCATAGGATTGTCATGAGGAGTGTATGATTAGTATATCTGAAGTACCTAAAGAATAGAAAATGCTAGGTGAGTCACACATACCCCTAGGTGCTGGACCTGAGCAACCTGGATATTGATGCCATTTGTTGGAATGGGGAGGACTTTGGGAATGTCGGTAATGAAATTTACTAGTTCTGTTTTGACAATGTTAACTTTATTCCTACCAGATGTCTATGTGAGATGTAAGAAGTAAAGATTAAGTAGGGATCTGGGTGTATGAGTCAAGGTTCAGAGGGGAATACAGAATTGAGAAATAAATTTGGGAGCCATCAGTTATACTTAATACTATAGAAGTAGAAGAAATCCTCAAAGGAAAAAGACCTCGAGAAGATAGTCAAGAACAGTACTGTGAGACACTCCGACACCTAGAAGTCTAGCAGAATTGGTTCCATATGGTATATGGAAACATATACTTGTTGGTAACAAGTTCCAAAGAAACAAAGACTGAACAAGAAACTTGTTGTTTGGTTAGCTGGAGCATCACTGAGGAATTGTATCCCTCTGAGGAAGGAAGGACAGAGAAAAATGGGAAGCTTATAGGAATAGCTTTGATATAAAGTTGATTTTCAGTTATGGTTAGTACACAAGCCATTCTATCAATGGATTTTTGGACTCACTTAACCAGAAGAATAAGGGTTAGAAGTGTGCTGAGATTTTAATAATATTAGATGATATTGTGGTCAGAGACTCCAGGAATGCAAGACACCTGTCCAGAAAGGAAGCACACACAGGAAACACTGATGAAAGGAAAGCAAAGTACCATTTCATTATCTAGATTTGTAGCCTAAACCCAGGAAATTCTAGTTCTTCGATAAACTGAGACAGAGCATGTAATTTCAGGCCAGTCTCATATTCTAGGTTTTACCTTCCTTCAGCAGACTTCAAAGGAGAAAAGAGTCTTGAGGAGGGAGCTGACTGCAGCCTGTTGTAAGTGTCCATGCTGACTCATGGTGACCCCATTTGTGCAAAGTAGAACTTCACTCCATAGGGTTTTCAAGGTTGTGATCTATCAGAAGCAGATCACCAGATCTGCCTTCCCACTCGCCTCCAGGTGGCTTGAGTCAACCTTTCAGCTAGTAGTCCAGCGTTGCGCCAAAAACCAAACCAAACCCACTGCCATTGAGTCAATTCTGACCCCCATTGTGTTTCCAAGACAGTAAATCTTTACAGAAGTAGACTGCCCAGTCTTGCTTCCCCAGAGTGGCTGGTGGGTTTGAACCATCAACCTTCTGGTTAGCAGCCAGGTGCCTTAGGCACTGTACTACCACAGCTCCTTGTTTTGTGCTACATCTCTTCAAATAAACGTCGAACAGTACCAATTGAATTATTGGTCCAATTCCTCCTGATGAGGAACGAGGACAGAAGTGGAGATACGTAGAGAACTCCAGGGCTTTGCTTTTGTTAAAGGATGCACTATAAGAGTAACAAGACTATTAGATCTGTTTGATCATCACAGAGGAAGAGGGAGGGGCTCCGGGACCCGGGCAACAGCGAGAGCCTCGGCTACACTGACCGTCCTGTTGGGGGCGCCGGACTCCCCCGAGTGTCTGCAGTTTTCTTGCTCCTCGGGGAAGGAAGTTTCCGCCTTCATTTTCACGAGCAGAGTACTCTCCGCGATTTCTGGACTGGTGCTCCCTGTGCTGTAGACATCTGAATCCAGTCTTCCAAGCAAAGAGCTGAGCTGTCTTGGCAGGCGTCCAGCCGAGGCACTTGGGCCACCATGAGGAGAGCAAAGGTGCCGGATGTTCTGTGAAAGGTGGTGTAACCAATGAGGGTTTGCAGATAACGTCTGTTCCAGTGGCGCAATTGGTTAGCGCGCGGTACTTATAAAGCAGTATATGTGTGAGGGATGCCGAGGTTGTGAGTTCGACCCTCACCTGGAACAGCATTTTTCGACCAGTGATTGAATCATTTGAGGAACTTTAATCAGCGCTGTGCTTTCGTCTTTCGTGATCACTCAAGTGAGTTAGAATCCAGTGGAAGACAATTGGTTTTATACTGCATGTGAATGTATCCTAAAGCGTTTATCCTTACTGCTTTCCTCAGCGCTTTGGAGCCAAGAGATTTCAGGTAATAACTGGCTGAATCCATGGTATCGCAATGGGTTGTTGTTGTTGTTGTTATGTGCCATCGCAATGGTTTAGCTTCACTAATTTTTTATCCTTACCTTGTCCTGAAAGCTGACTCACATAGAGATCTGACAACCTCTCTCCACTTTGCTCTTATCCTTGTCATTTCTTGGGGAGCACCTGGCACATAGTAAGTAGGTGCTAGATAACTTCCCTGAAGTGAATAGCATTGATGTGCATTTGAGACAACTCAAAAGTGGAAAATTGTATGGGATTGCTTGTTTGGGGGAAAAAAAAAGTACTGATATCTGATGAGAGCATTGCCTACAGTGTCTTTCCCTCACTTAATTTTACCCTGGTGGAATGGCGCAAAAGGAGCTTTGGTGGTGTCGTGGTTAAGGCATTTGGCTGCTAACCAAAAGGTCAGTGGTTCAAACCCACCAGCCACTAAGTGGAAGAAAGATGAGGCAGAGATTTACAGCCTAGGAAACCCAATGCAGGTTGCTATGAGCCAGAATTGACTTGATGACAGTGAGTCTGGTTTGGACAGTTGGAATGGCGCAAAAGAAGCACTCTACCCCTAACCTAAGGTTGCCTGGTGGAACACAGCCTCAGGTGCCTCAGGAGAAAGGCTTAGTGATCTGCTTCCAAAGGTCACAACCTTGAAAAGCCTGTGGAGTACAGTTCTACTTAGAAACACATGGGGTTGCTATGAGGTGGAATTGACTCCGAGGGCAACTAGTTGGTTGGTTGGTTGATAACAATCTTGGACCACCTACCTGTTCTTGTCAACTGAGAAAATGGACTCTGGTGATCTGGGGTGATCCTAAATCCCTAGGGCCTTTAAAAGAATGAGTGACAATGAATCTCAGAAACTATAAACTTACTGAACAATTGCAGGGATAAGCATAGGATAAAGTGGGTAAGAAGTAGGAAGTGATATGCTTCCTCCTCCAGAAATGACCTAAGAGGTTTGCCTGGTCATAGAGCTTATCATATGTTTCCCCTCCTCCCTCAAGAAAATGAACTCCATTAAGGCACTGTGTTCCTCTTTTTTCCTGTGTTATGCAGCTAACATCATATCTACATGGACTGAGTTGAATTGAGGCTAAATGAAGTGAAGTAGAGAATTTAGAATTCTGTTTCTTAGCTGTAAGAATTATTCTAAACCTAACAGTGCATGTATTACACTCAAGACATATTATGATATCTCTAGTATGATTTTGAAATGACACCCAGTAATGTTTTACCTTATTATGAAGTTTTGGACAATATGTTTAAAAACAAATCTAGCACGCTAATTCAATCTTTTCCTTTCTGCTTTCAATTAAGAGTATTACTGGGCATCTACAAGGATATTTTCAAATAAGAGGTGAACTTTGCATATTTGTAAACAGGCCTAAGCCAATTTAGTGATTCACAATTTTGCGGTTTTTTTGTAGTCAACCATAGTAGGAAGTAGGTTAGCTACTCTGGGCAATGTACTAGCAGTTGGTGATGACAGCAGATCTCCAACAAAATCCTATGCATAACAGTCATTTATTTGGAAGCAGAGGACGGCTGGTGGAGCAACCAGTGGTTTAGATTATTATATATTTCTTCTCATATTTATTGACTTAATGTGAAAAATTGCTTTGAGTGATTATCGGATGTTACACCATCCTATAATACATGGAATAAATACCATCTTGATAATGATACATTATTCTTTTTATTTATTTCTTGGATGCTGTTTGGTAATATTTTCTTTAGAAGTTTTGGTCTATACTCATGAAACATATTGCCCTGTGATTTTCTTTCCTTGTTAAGTTTTTGTATAAAGATTATGTTGGCGTCACTAAATATTAGTTAAAAATTGTTCACTCGTTTTATATTTGCTGGATTATTTGAGGCAGTATTTTCTCTTGATTACATATTTTGAGCTTTATAGTAGAGCCACCTGGACATGGAATTTTCTTTCAGGAAGACTATGGTAGCATAGTGCCTAAGGCACTTGACTGCTAACCAGGAGGCTGGCGGTTCAAACCCCACCAGCCACTCCTCGGAAGGAAGATGAGGCAATCTACTTCCGTAGTGATACTGCCTAGGAAACCCAAGGAGGGGTCGCTATGAGTCGGGTCTGACTCGACGGCACATAACAACAACAACATGGTAATGATAGATTTACTTTTATGAATACCTAGATGTCTATTCAGATTTCTTTTCTTGTTTCTGATTTGGAAAATAGTGGGTTTTTTAAGGAATATTTTCATTTCCTCTACACTTTCAACTTTATTTTAAAATTAATATTAATGGTCATAATATTAATGTCATTAATGAGATAACATTGATATTATTTTAATTCCTGAAGGCTCTGTAGTGATATCCCTTTTGAATATTCTTGATGTTCATAATTTGTGTTCTCTTTCTTTATTAATTAACAAATTTGCAAGGGCTTAATCAATATTATTTATCTTTCAAATCACCAACTTTTGCACTGTTGATTTTCTATATTGTATGTGTTTTCCATTTTATTGACTTCTGCTTTTAATTATTTTCTTTCTTCTACTTTTCATTTAATTTGCTGTCTTTTTTCCTAGATTCTTGAGTTTGATCTTAATTCCTCTACTTTCAGTTTTTCTTCATTTCCAATTAGTGCATTTCAACCTAAAATTTCCCTCTAAGCACTGCTTTCACTGTATTTCACAAGTTTTGATATATGGTATTTTTTTATTATTCAGCACAAAATAGTTGGGGCCGACTCGACGGCACATAACAGCAACACATATTAGGTGTATCGAATTTAGAATTGTGTATTTTCTGGTTCAGTTGATGTTTCTATCATATTGCAATGTCTACTTATTTTTTACAGTGTTACTTTCTTTAATAAAGTCTACTTGGTTTGATATTAATAAAGTCAAATCAGTTTTCTTTTTTGTTTGTGTTTCCAGGATATCTAATTTCCATCCTTTTAATTTGAATCTCTTTGTCCTCATATTTAGATTATTTTTCTTGTTAAAAAGATTTAATTAGATCTTTATTTTTAGACAGTCAGATAAACTTTGTTTTCATTTATTTATTTATTTAGTTAGTTTAAATAATTTGAACAGTTCCAAGGATGATACAAAGTCCTGTATGTGCTTCACTCAGAGAACACTTTCAAGGTTTGGCAATTTTTCTATAATGTTCTTTGTAGCAAAACCATACAATCTAGGATTTTGTATTTGTTTTGGTTACTCAGTGACAGGAATATACCGCAAATGGGATGGCTTGAAGAAACAGGAGTTTATTCTCTTATGGTTTGGAGGCTTTAAGTCCGAGTTCGAAGTGCCAGGCTTTTAGAATGGGAGTGGTTTGTTTGTTTGTTTGTTTTAATGTGTATTGTATATTGTAAAACATGAGTTTATCTGATACTTTCAATTTCCATGTACCACCAAAGCGTAATCCTAGAGTTGGCACTTTCCCACATTCTTCACACATTTAACTACATGTTTAACCACATTCTCCATATATTTAACCACATGTTTACTTCTCTTATGTGTAACCAGGTAACCAGTATTTGAAAACCACTGAGCCACTACCTGCTCTGCTGCGTAGGTAGCATCCCTGCTGAGATGCTACTCTCTTCAGCCACCTCCTTGCTCATGCCTTAGCCCCCATCAGGTGCCACCTCTCTTGGTCATATTCAGTCTTTGTTTTTGCTTGGAATGTTGAGTCCATTTATATTTAATGTTATTACCGATGCATTTGGGTTTAAGACTACCCTCTTGCTACTTGTTTCCTTCCCCCCCCCCCATCTGCTTAATGTTCCCTGGATTATTCATGTGATTTTATTCATTTTTCATTGATTTTTGTGTTCTTTAGTGGTTTCTAGAAAGAACATTAATCTTACTAAAACTATTCTATTCCAACTAGAAGTGAAAGCCATGATACATATTATTTTAATTGATATTCTGATATGATCATTATCTAATCTAATTCTCATCTTATTTCCATTATGACATCATGTGTATTATATATTTCATCGTAGGCTATTTCTCACCACTCTTGACTAGGTCATATGAGATTCTCATTGACCTTAGTGTTCTGAGAGTTTATTAACACATGAATAATTATAAATTTGGGAGCTCTGGTAGCATAGTGCCTAAGCATTTGACTGCAAACCTGAAGGCTGACAGTTCAAACCCACTAGACACTCCTCAGAAGGAAGGTTGAGTAATTTACTTCTGTAGTGATACTGCCTCAGAAACCTAAGGAGGGGTTTATGAGTCGGATCCGACTCGAAGGCAATGAGTTTTACACTTGTAAGTTCTTTTTATATTTTACTAGAATAGTTGTGAATGTACTTTTAATTTATTCTACTTACGTATCTTGACTTTTTTCTGTTCTCCCTATCATCTCTTTTGGGATTTTGATTAGATACATAGTATAACATCTTTCCTAGCCTTCATTTTTCTTAGACTCTCTTTCAAAATTAACAGTTTTTTGTTTTTGTTGGTAGTATTTTAGGCAGTTTTGTCAGATATAACTTTTAGATTCCTAATTCTCCCTTCTGCTGTATCTAATCTGCCATTTAATAGATATATAGATATATAATTTAAAGATATATTTTTATTTTTTATTCCCAGAATTTCTCTTTGATATTTTTCAAATACAATGAAGTTAATTGCACTGTTTTCCCAACAATTCACTTCTTTTTCCTGTGAGAGGGCTATATATTTTGGTCAACTATTATATGTTTTATACTGCCCGTCCTTGTGAGAGGACTATAATTCCCTTTCCCTTTGATATCAGACTTGCCAATATTCTGATAATAAGGCCAATTTATGCAGACAAA